CTTTCCCTTTTCTTTCTCCTGCCTTTGATCTCTTTTATCTATTTAGCTTGTAGGTCTTGGGGAAATGACTGTTTCTTACTATCCATGTGCACAGAACCCAGCACAATCATGCCCAATGTGTACCACAATAATAATTTTTAATATACAGCATATCTAGCCTATTTTAGCATCTGTCTGTTTGTTACTATGTGGTTGGGGTTCAGAATTCAATATTGTATTGATGATGTAAATAGGGATGTGAACGAGCTGTCGACTAATCAATTAGCCAATAAGCCTAGGCTGATCTGTTAATTTAGTTGACTACTCCCATTCCCCTGCTGCCTCTGTATCAGGGGCAGCAAGAGGGGGTGTGGAGTATGTGTAGTCATTTGGATTCACTGATAAGCCCAGGCTTATCGGTTAATCATTTAAATGACTACACGCTATCATTCCTAGTTGCCGGACCAGAGAATGCCAGACTAGAGATGTTCAACCTGCGCTATGTACATTTTCAGCATTTGAAGATATTGTGTCAAGAGTATAAAAAGAAACAGTACGTTTACTTGCTGTATGACAATACATTTTAAAGGTATAAAAAACGACAAAATATTGGAGGGGGAAAAGTGCAGTATCTTTCAAAAGTGATCCTGGCATTTAGTTTCCCATAAATCTGCTTTCCAATTCTGTTAAAGGATCAAATACAAAGATAAATCAGTAAATAAAATAGCAGAACCATGGGAAATAAGTGCAGGGATTTATAAAGAAAAGATTGGTTTCCAGGGAAAGTATGGTAGCATTTGTCTTACAGCACTAAAAATTAGTAAATAAAAGAAAGCAGTGAGAGGTATCTTAGTCCCTGGGGCTGGGGCTTTAGCAGAGGCAGCAGCACGGGGAGCCAGGTGGGAGCCAGTTTAAAAACCAGCTCCCTTGCAGACTAGCTGCCCACCATCCCACACAGCTCCTCTGATACAGTACAGGGCAGAATGACTAGTCAATGAATCAATTAACCGATAAGCCTAGGCCACTGTGGACAAGGGCACTGCCATGGGCAGAGGGTGCTTTGGGAAGCCTCCCCTGCTTTGCCTCCCTCACGCTGGGAGAGCGGGGGAGGAGGGCAGGCAGCACCGTGGAGCCAGTGCTGGGGGGAACTAACTTTTATGTCTCTCCTCAGCACCAACTCCTGATTGGCCCCCTTGCTGTTTTTGATACAGAGGCAGCAAGGGTGTGTGTGGAAATGCGAGTATCAGAGGCAGCAGCACAGGGTGACAGGCAAAGCTCGTCTGTGAGGGGAGCTGGTTTTAAACTGGCTCCCCTCGCAGGATAAAGAGGCAGCAGCACCAGGTGGCTTCCCAGGAGTGGGACCAGATTGCAGTAGCTACTAGCCCCACCCCAGGGGACTATAGAATATTCAACTAACCACTAAGAATTCATGCGGTTAGTTGACTATTCAGTTAACATCCTTAGATGTAACTGCAAAAAAGGAAAAGAAACATGAGAAAAAGTCTCTCAGCTTTTTTTTGTTTGCTTGTTTTACTCCTCTAAGAAAAAAGCTGGAGAGAGTGATACTGAACTGACCACACATGTTGAGTGAATTTTTGATGATAAAGTTCCACAGGGCCATAAATTTCACTTTTACCTCACCTTCTGTTAATTTACCTTTTGTTTTGCTTTTCTTAATATCAGGAAAGGGTTGAGCTAGGGAACTGAAAGTAATGTACCTTGGCATGCTCCACCAATATCACTGTATATTCTACCTCAGGGGTTCCCAAACTTTTTGACACGGGGACCAGTAAATCCATTCACGAACTTTTGGAGGACCAGTAATGTTCGTTTGCATATTTGCATATTCATTAATCAAATGATGAATATTCAAATAAGTTGTTTCTGGTCCTCCCAAATCTCCCAGTGCCAACTTTAGCAAAGCTTTTGATATGGTCACCCACAATATTCTTGCCAGCAAGTTAAGGAATATGGATTGGATAAATGGGCTGTAAGACAGACAGAAAGCTGGTTAGACCAGGGTTTCCCAAACTTTTTACTTTAATTGGGATCTTTTTTTTTTTCAGTTCTGCTTTTTGCAGCCCAAAAATATAAACACATGAAAAACAAACAGACAATACAAGACATATAACATGTCTGGTATTTTCTCAGTAGGTAAGTTGTATTATTACTAGATGTATCAGTTTGTAGTTTCGAACTGCCTGGTTGGTAAATGTGCTCAGGCTGCATGAGTGTGTCTACCAGCCAGATACCTTGAGTAGTTGCGAACTGTGTGTGTGTGTGTGTATATATATACACACACACACACACATACACACACACACACACACACACAGAATTTCTGGCCACACATTTTTTTTTCCAAGGGCCACCCAGTCACTGAAAAAGTGACAAATTTCTTTGGCACAAATATAAAAAGAGCAGACTAAGTATATATAGATTAGATAATACATCCCCGCCGCTTCCCCCCCCAACCCCCCCTGCCCAGCCCCGCTGCCCTCATCCAGCCCTCCTTCTGGTGGCCACTTCTTCTCCCCCCTCCCATCTTCCCCAGCCAGCTCCCTGCCCCCAACCTCGCACCCCCTGGCGGCCCTGCTTCCACCGCAACCTCACACCCCCCAGCCTGCCCTGATTCCCCCATCCAGTGCTGCTTCCGGTGGCCAGCTCTCCCTTCCTCCTCACCCCAGAATCCCCTGGCACCTGCACGTTCCCTTAGCCCTGCACCCTCCTGGTGCCTCCCTTTGCCCTCTTTTTCCCTAATACCCACTCCCTCACTAGTCTCTGCCCCATTCCCCTCCTGCCCCTCTGTGCCCTCTCACACGATTTGCTCCATCCTGACCTTCCTCATGCCCCCCTTCTTTCAAGCCTTCTCCCAGCAACTCCCCCTCCAGCCCCCAGTACCCTTCCCCTCTCCTCTCCTCTCCCAGCATCAGCCTGTCCCCCCTCCCGCTGACACCTCCCCTCCTGCCCTTTCCCTCATGGTCTGCACTTGGCCCCCATTTG